CTCAGGCTGTCCTGGAACTCACTATGTCAACCAGGCTGGCCTTGAACCAGAGATCCACCTGCCCCACCTCCTGAGAACTGGGATTAAAGGTGTCTGCCACTAACGCCCAGCTTAAGGTAGACTCTTAATTTTCGTTCCAAATCAATCTATCTTCTAGGATGATTCTTTCAGCACTCAGGAGGCAGAGCATGTAGAAGATCTCTGAGTTCCAGGCCAGCCTGGCTGACAGTCAAGATAATGGTAACTTTTAAGTCCTTTAATATCTAGCTACTTTATATTAATTTTTACAAATAAGCATGTATTCTAAAAATTAACCTAAAAATTTTAATCTTTGCCTTTTTCCAGCACAGAGTTACAGAAAACCTATCTCAAAAATTAATAAGACTTTGTCATAAATAAGTAAATAAATAAATAGGTGGCTGCCATCTCTTTTGCGGCATCATGGCTGCCCTCCGGCCTCTGGTGAAGCCCAAGATCGTCAAAAAGAGGACCAAGAAGTTCATCAGGCACCAGTCAGACCGATATGTGAAAATTAAGCGAAACTGGCAGAAACCCAGAGGCACTGACAACAGGGTTCGGAGAAGATTCAACGGCCAGATCTTGATGCCCAACATTGGTTATGGGAGCAACAAGAAAACCAAGCACATGCTGCCTAGCAGCTTCCGGAAGTTTCTGGTCCACAACGTCAAGGAGCTGGAAGTGCTGCTGATGTGCAACAAATCTTACTGTGCTGAGATTGCTCACAATGTGTCTTCTAAGAACCGAAAAGCCATCATAGAAAGAGCAGCACAACTGGCCATCAGGGTCACCAATCCCAACGCCAAGCTATGCAGCGAAGAAAATGAATAGATGGCTTGCATGCATGTTTTGTGTTTAAATAAAACCACAAAAACTGAAAATAAATAAATAAACAAATAAAGCATGGAATTCCTGACCATTTTTTAAGGTGTTAGGCATTCCATGCTTACAGTAATATGTGGAAAAAATAAACAAAGATATAGAAGTCAGGCAGTAGAGGCTGTCCTAAATTAATTCAGTACTTGTTTTCTTTTGTCTGAGCGCCACATCTTCACTAAGGCAGGGTCTCTCAAGTGAACCCAGCGCTTGCCAACAAGAGTGGCTGCAATTACAGCCAGTTACACTTGAAATTACAGGCAGCCACAATGCCCACCCTGTACTAACAAAGGTTCTAGGGATGTGAATGCCAGTCCTCATGTATGGTTGGTTGTTGGTTGTACAGCAAGTACAACCAATGAACCATCTCCTCAGCACCTACTAAGTCATTTTCGTCATCAAGAAAAAGTCAATCTAAGCATAATAGCCAACACCTGAACTTAATCTCCAATGGCAGGAAGAACACAAGTTCAAGTCAGGCACGGGCAACACAGGGAACCCAGTCTCAAGAAACAAACAACAAAATCATCCTTAGAAGTATTAGCAAACAAACTAGAGTCATAATTTTTATCATCACACTTTAGAAAAGCAATTTTGCCTATGTTTCCCAGAAGTAGATAAAACAAAACTCTTAAGACATAACACTTAAAATTCCAATATTAACTTCATGGACTCCTAGAGAGTAAATATTTACATTTATGTACATTTCTCTACCTGTAGTAACTCTGTGTTCCTTTCCTCTTGTTCAAATCTCACACTAATTAGTATATATTTACTTATTTTATTTCCTAGACATGAAACCAGACACCTAACACTGAATAACAACAATTATATATGATCAACATATTTTTTTCTGCCTTAAAAGTTACATTTCAGCTGGGTGGTGGTGGCCCACCCCTTTAATGCCAGCACTCAGGAGACAGAGGCAAGGGTGTCATCTGTGAGCTCAAGGCCAGTTGGTCTACAGAGCTAGTTCCAGGGCAGCCAAGACTACACAGAGAAATCCTGTCTCAATCACACACGCGCACACACACACACAGAGTTGCAATTCCATACAATAAAATGCTGTTGATTTAGCTGACTGTGGAGCTAGAAACTAAGACACAACACCACCATAAAACGGTTAATTAGCCATTTGCTCAGTGATCCTGCCAATTAACTTTCATGTATTACAGGGTCACAGACAGCATCAGGACTCTGGCTGGTCAGTCATTCTATCACAAGAGTCAGCCAAATGTATAGCTGGCTCTGCACAAATCAACTCTCACCAGAACTATTTATCAATGTACTCCAAACAAATCATGGAAGAAGTATCATCCTGAGAAAGTTCTGCAGTAATAAATCCAGTTAGTTAGTCCCACAGTAGAGGGCAACCTAAGACAAAAGTATAAACTCTACCTCAGATACTAAATTAAAAACAATAGATGGCTTAAAATTCAAAATCCATTTCTAAAAAGTAAGTCTACTTTGAAGTGGACTAGGAGTATATAATTCAGTGGTAGCCTGTATTCTTAGCATGCACAAGACCCTGAGTTCAGTCCCCAACACCAAAAATGAGTAAGTATAAAAAACACACTAACATTGATACTCTTTTAAGCTAGAATTATAAATTTTAAGACAGAGTGATCTTTTCACCTCTCCACTTTATCAATTCATGTACCTTCCTTTACGTGGCAATTATAATCTCAAATTACGGTAACATTCATCTTTCAAAAACCTTTTTCTCTTTTTTTTTTTTTGTTTGTTTGTTTTTTTGAGACAGGGTTTCTCTGTGTAGCCCAGGCTGTCCTGGAACTCACTCGGTAGACCAGGCTGGTCTTGAACTCAGAAATCCACCTGCCTCTGCCTCCCAAGTGCTGGGATCAAAGGCGTGCGCCACCACTGCCTGGCTAACCTTTTTCTTATTAGTTGGCCACAATTGCAACTAATCACTTTTCCATTCCCTAATTTCTCTTCTAACAGACAAGAACTTCCCATAATATTCTACACAAAGCAACAGATGTAACACTTTGAGTCTCTCCTAGCAGCTACAACTCCCTGAAAATAACCATCACCTTTCTACCCACAATTCCCTACAAAGTATGAATTAACTATACTTAGCTTGTTCCTCAGTATCCAATAGGGATTAGTTCTAGGACACACTCCCATCCTACCCCAATCCCCACTCCAACCCCATCTTTGGATACTGAAGTCCTTTACATAAAATAGCATAATATTTACAAGCAATCTATCATAATCCTCCCCTAAAGTTCAAATCTGTACATTACACTATCTAATAAAGTGTAATAAAATAAAAATAATAAATAATAATAAAATGTTAAGTAGTTGTTACATTGTTTGGGAATGACAAGAAAAAGGGAGAATATCCTCCTCCAACAAGAAGGGCTGATGGTACATGGTATTACTATGGATTTAATTCGCTCACAGATCAGTCTCTTGAACTATATTATAAACCCCTGAAGAGTTTAGGAGTGTACCATTATCGACAGTTCTGGGCCAAAGAAGACTGGAAATTAAGCAATAAAACCTTTGAATACTTTCTACATAGCTCTGTATTAGTAAAGTATCTCACAGATATTTGTAAGGGGTTTTGATCAATCTTTGACCTTTGTTCCTACTGAACACACTTTCCACCATCTCTTTTAAGGGGGAAGATTCAATTATGTCTGATTCATTCTTAATACAAATGTTTACAATATGATAATAGAGTTCAGTACATGTATAACCAAATAAAATCGAAGCACATTGTCTTTGATTAATAATGTGGTCCTCAAAAAACTTAAGAACCTATAAATTGCAACATCTGGGTTTTTTTTTTAATTCATACTAAGACTTGAGAATATTTTCCAATACAACAACAGTTAAGGATATCTGCAGAGACAGGAGTAGGAACAAGAACATTAAAATACGGGTAACAGTTTAACACCATGCCTCCATTCCACTTTACCCAAATAATTTAAATGGGGTGAAAAAAATGTAGACACAACTTGTAATTCAGTATAAGCCCTATGGAAAACAAAACATACTGGATTTATAAACCATGAGTTAATTTTTAAAGTGTTTTAATCCACGAAATTTTTACATTTATCCCATGACCAGCTGGTTCTCATCTCACCAGTGCCCCGCCCCCCCACACTTCTCACCTTCCTACACACACACACACACACACACACACACACACACACACACACAGGAGTCCCCGTGCCAAACCAATCATCATGGGAAAAAAACTAAACCATGTGGTTCGCTTTCCTAATTCTTTGTGAAAATAGTCATAGTTTTTCCCAAAGGAAAATTACCTATTCTAACGGGAACTGAGAAGGAAAAGCAGATCATTATCCGTTTCCCATTCTCCACAGGGAGGAAAAAAATGATATTAACTTGCAATAAGAGACAGCCGTTCCATGCCGGGCAGTGGTGGCGCACGCCTTTAATCCCAGCACTTGGGAGGCAGAGGCAGGTGGATTTCTGAGTTCGAGGCCAGCCTGGTCTACAGAGTGAGTTCCAGGACAGCCAGGGCTACACAGAGAAACCCTGTCTCGAAAATCAAAAAAAAAAAAAAAGAGACAGCCGTTCCACCATGTCCCCTTTACAGCCTAAAAACAAATTGTTTAAACTTAAGGGTTAAGAATTTTTGTTTTGTCGTCAGGGTCCACTCGCAGGAATGGAGAAGTGAGACATTTCACTTTGCAGGAATAGGACCCCCCTTAAAAAAAATGATCCCTCGGAATTTGGGCAGGAGGCAACCTATCCCTCTATCATACAAGCCTGCCATCGAGCAAGATTCCGTTATACAGAAAATGCCACTCTCCACCTCCACCGCCATCCGGAACACTGACAGGAGAGGACTGCGGGGGCGACCGGGCAGAGGAGAGGGGGCGGGACGCCACGCACTGCACCTCACCGCACCGCACCGGGGACTCGCACGGGGCTGCTGGGGCCTTCTGCCGACCCCGTTTCCTCCAGCCGCCGCCCTCGCCCGGTCCCCACCCCGGCGCGGCTCCCGGGACCGAGTACCGCGCGGCCTCCTCAGCTCGCCGTCGCCCCGCGCGCCCCTCACACCCCGCGCCCTGCCGCGCGGAGCCGCGCGAGGGGCCGCGTCGCACCTGGATGTAGTTGTTCTCGCAGTAGTCGGCCACCCGCTCCAGATTCGTGTAGCTGTCGAAGAGAGCCCGGCGGCCTCCCGGGATTTCCTCTTCCAACAGCATCTGCAGCTCCGCCATCTTCACATCCTCCTCTTCCTCCTCCTCCTCCTCCTACTCCTCCTCATACAGCCCGCAGAGGCAGCGGCCGCGACGCCGGGGAGAGGAGGAGCAGCGACGAACGCGGCGGGAATCGGGAGGAGCGAGCAGCTCCCCCACGGCGCGCGACACGGGAGGGGGCGGCGGGGACGGAGGCGGGGCGCGAGCCGACGGGCCCCGAGAACGGTCACCGCGGCGACGGGCGGACGGACGGGCGCGCGCACGCGCGCTCTCCTCCCTCCGCCCCCCAGCGCCCGAAAAAGATTCCCACCCGCGCCGCGCCGCCCCTCCCCCACTTCCGGCGTCTCCTAGCGACGGGAGGGCGGGGGCCGGGATGCGCGCGGGAGCGGGGCTCCCGGTTAACCCTTCGGCCCCGCGCTGCCTTCCCGGCTCTGGGAGTCTTCAGCAGCCTTTGTTAGCCATGGCGGGAATGCGCCGCAGCTCCCTGCTGCTTCCCGCCGTCGCCCCCCCATCTTCACCTCCGCGCTACACCCGGGGCCGGAACCCTGTGGAGGTCATCTGCCTGAGGAAGCTCTCCAGGCCCCTGTGGAGGCCTAGAGAGAGGGTACAGTCTCTTCACAAGCTCTGTGACAGATAACACCTCATCAGAACCGGCAGAGCCACTGAACTTCCAGGCAGCTCTGAATGCCACCTTGGACCTCTTCTTCTTCTTCTTCTTTACAAATTGCAGTTACCTAATCCCAAACCCATTTATTCATTCATTCATTCATTACCTCCCTCCCCCCTGTCCTCTCTTTCTTCTTGGCATGATTCCTGTGTAGACCTGGCTGGCTGGAATTACAGCCACATGCTGTGGTTGCCCAGCCTGGGCCTCCTCTTCACTTGACTTTTTTCAAAATTTCGATGGTGGTTTTGCTTGTACTAATTTCTTTATTCACATGGTTATGGCATGAATAAGATTAAGCGCACAATGACAAACGTGCGTTTTTCAGATTAAGTACTACAAATTCAAGGTAGTTCATCCTGATCTTGTAATCCAGATATCTAATCTTTTTTCATAAATATGATTGCCCCACATGGTGAAACTTGAAACAAATAAAACTGACACCTTCTGAGATACTAAGACCACAATCCTTGTTAGTTCTGTGGAAACCCAAAGGGTCTTAGAGGGATAGTTTAGGATTTCAACCTTTACTGTCACTTGGCCTCCTAGGATCAATTTTCAGATCATGAGGGAACAATTATACATTCCTTAAAAAAAAAATCAAATGCATACTTTCACAATTTATGGAGTAAACCCTGTGTTGTTACATTAGCTCTATGACAAATACATTACCAATGTGTTGTCTGCTTTTGCTGCAGCACTTAAAACAGTATTTTTTTATTGGATATTTTATTTACATTTCAGATGTAATCCCCTTTCCCCATTCCCCTCCCACCCAGGAACCCCCATCCCATCCCCCCTCCTCCTGCTTCTATGAGGATGTGCCCCCACTCACCCTTCCACTCCCACCTCCCCACCCACGAATTCCCCCACACTGGGGCATCCAGCCTTCACTGGACCAAGGACTTCCTCACCCACCTATGCCTGACAATGTCATCCTCCCCTACATATACAGCTGGGGCCATGGGTCCCTCCATATGTGCTCCCAGGCTGGTGATTTAGACCCTGGGAACTCGGATTGGTTGTCATTGTTGCTCTCCTCATGGGGCCACAAACCCTTTCAGCTCCTTCAGTCCTCACTCTGACTCCTCCATTGGGAACCCCATGATCAGTTCATTTTTTTTTTTTTCTTTTTTTGTTTGGTTGGTTGGTTTGGTTTTTCGAGACAGGGTTTCTCTGTGGAGTTCTGGCTGTCCTGGAACTCACTCTGTAGACCAGGCTGGCCTCAAACTCAGAAATCTGCCTGCCTCTGCCTTCCAAGTGCTGGGATTAAAGGCTTGCACCACCACCACCCGGCCCATGATCAGTTCATGGTTAGTTGTGAGCATCTGCCTCTGTATATTTCAGGCTCTGGCAGACCTCTAAGGAGACAGCTATAGCAGGCTCCTATCATCATGCACTTCCTGGCAGCCACATCAGCATCTACCTTTGATGACTGCACATGGGATGGATACCCAGGTGGAGAAGTCTCTGGATGGCCCCTCCTTCAGTTTCTGTCCCACGCTTTGTCTCCATATTTGCTCCCATGAGTATTTTGTTACTCCTTCTAAGAAGGACCGAAGCACCCACACTTGGTCTTCCTTCTTCATGAGCTTCATGTGGTCTGTGAGTTATATCTTGGATATTGCGAGCTTTTGGGCTAATATCCAATTATCAGTGAGTACATACCATGTGTGTTCTTTTCTGATTGGGTTACCTCACTCAGGATGATACTTTCTAGTTGCATCCATTTACCTAAAAATTTCTCAAATTCATTGTTTTTAATAGCTGAGTAATACTCCATTGTGTAAATGTACTAGCTGAGTAATATTCCATTGTGTAAATGTACCACATTTTCTATATCCATTCCTCTGTTGAAGGACATCTGGGTTCTTTCCAGCTTCTGGCTATTATAAATAAGACTGCTATGAACATAGTGGCGCATATGTCCTTGTTATATGTTGGACCATCTTCTGGGTATATGCCCAGGAGTGGTATAGCTGGGTCCTTAGGTAATGCTATATCCAGTTTTCTGAGGAACTGCCAGACTGATTTCCAGAGTGGTTGCACCATCTTGCAATCCCACCAACAGTGGAGGAGTGTTTCTCTTTCTCCGCATCCTCTCCAGCATCTACTATCACCTGAGTTTTTTATCTTGGCCATTCTTACTGGTGAGAGGTAGAACCAACCTCAGGGTTGTTTTGATTTGCATTTCCCTGATGACTAAGGATATTGAAATTTTCTTTAGGTGCTTCTTGGCCATTCCAATTTCCTCAGTTGAGAATTCTTTGTTTAGCTCTGTACTCCATTTTTAATAGGGTTATTTGGTTGTCTGGAGTCTAATTTCTTGAGTTCTTTGTATATATTGGCTATTAGCCTTCTATCAGATGTAGAATTGGTAAAGATCTTTTCCCAATCTGTTGGTTTCCATTTTGTCCTATTGACAGTGTCCTTTGCCTTACAGAAACTTCGCAATTTTATGAGGTTCCATTTGTCAATTCTTGATCTTAGAGCATAAGCCATTGGTGTTCTGTTCAGGAACTTCTCCCCTGTGCCTAGGTATTCAAGGGTCTTCCCCACCTTCTCCTCTATTAGTTTCAGTGTATCTGGTTGTATGTGAAGGTCTTTTATCCACTTGGACTTGAGCTTTGTACAAGGAGATAAGAATGGATCAATGTGCATTCTTCTACATGTTGACCTCCAGTTGAACCAGCACCATTTGTTGAAAATGCTGTCCTTTTTCCACTGGACGGTTTTAGCTCCTTTGTCAAAGATCAAGTGACCATTGGTGTGTGGGTTCATTTCTGGGTCTTCATTTGTATTCCATTGATCTTCCTGCCTGTCTCTGTACCAATATCACGCAGTTTTATTTTTAAATGATGATGTGGTCCAGCCGGATCTATTGTTCACTACTTTAAACACCTGTCTTAGTGTGCATGTTCTAAGTGTGAGAAGCTTGTTAAAAACAAAAGGGAGAGCTGGGGTTTGTAGCTCAGTGACAACTGCGTTTAACCGTGTGTGGGGAAAGAAGAGAAACCTAAGGTGTGTGTAGGGGGATAGTTATGTATAGGGCACATACACTTGGTTCAGAAAATGAGGTATAAACAGGTGAAAAACAAACATCAGATCATACTCTTATACAAACCAATAGATCAAAAAAACCTATGTTGATGGATCTGGAGAGATGGCTCAGCCATTAGAGCACACACTGTTCTTCCAGAGGACCAGAGTTTGGTTCCCAACATCCATGTCATACTGTTTACAATCGCCTGTAACTCTAAGGAGATCCAATACCCTGCTCTGGCATCCATTGGTACCTGCACTCATGTGGCATATACCCACATAGAATCACACACATAAATAAAAAGAAAAAAATTTTAAAGAATTTGTTACTGTAAAAATCATAGTTTTCATCTAAAAGGAAGTAGGAGAGGGTTTATTCTGAAGCCATTTGAGTGACCATGGCCAGGGAACACAGAGTTAGGTTACCCCAAATTTCATGTTCCAACGTATAAACAGCTTCATCACATTCTTTGTAGTTTTACAGAATAAAAGTTGTAAGAGAAAGCAAGTTTAAAATACATTGGTGGGTACATCAGAGAGGCAAGTACATCAAGATCAGGGGAGCCTTTCTATGTACTCAAGATGCTATCTCATGACATTCTTAACTTTTATATTGGTTGAAGCTAGTTGCCTGCCAAGTTAATAAATACTAAAAGATTTCCTTTTATCTGTTGTCACGAGATGTTAGTTCCGACTTCGTGGGGGAGGGTTGTTTGCAAGGAATAGGTCTCTGGAGGGCCAGAACAGCCCAAGATAAGAGAATTGGCCTCTGGACCTGCATTATTCCAGTCTTTCCACAGTACTGAAATTCTAAGATTTATTTATTTTATGCATATGAGTACACCACCACTGCTCTCTTCAGACACAGCAGCAGAGGACATCAGACCCCATCACAGATGGTTGTGAGCCACCGTGTGGTTGCTGGGAACTGAACCCAGAAATTCTAATCAGCGTCAGCCAGTCTCTACAAACACAGATTTCTTCCAGTTTTCCTTCACCGCCAGATGCAGCCTCTATTCAAGTTTCCTTTCACCAAGCCTACAAGATAACTTAAAAGCAGACAGGGTCCTTCCCTGACATACTTCTTCTTGACTAGCATTCTTTCAAATACTGCCTAGCAATTATTCCAATAAACAAACGTCCTGAGAGAGGATTCATCAAATCACCCAGGGAGAGCTGGAACGCTTTCTCTAATTTGTGACAGCTTCTTTGGCTCTTTAAGGATTCAGAACTAGGACTGTAGCTCAGTGGTAGAAAACTTTGTTATTGTCATATAGCCTTTAAAACTCAGAAGCCTGAGGCCCCAAGGATGTAGGCATACATTTTTGCTGCCACTAAGAAGGATTTGAGAGATAGGTAGGTAGATAGATAGATAGATAGATAGATAGATAGAACAAAAACCTATGAAATACTCCACAATTATTAGGGTCTAGGACCAGATTGTGTATCTCTTGAAAACTAGGTTAATGTCCATAATTGAAATCTACTCAATTTTAAAGATTTTCAGATAAACTGTTATGGTAAGACAGAAACTCATTTAAGCCATCAAAAAGTGACAAGATAATAATACTTATTTAATGTAAACTCCATTTGAATAGAAAC